AGCGTGGTAGGAGGACAGCGGCCATGGTGGAGCCTGCCCGGTGCCCCCAGTGCTAGGAGAGAGGCGACTGATCCAGCCAACCCTCACTTGTCTGTCTGCCTTAAAGGGGAACATCCTTACAACGAGTGACGCTTGAGGTCAGTATGTGCAACCAAATGGCCAGTCCTACTTCTTGGGTAGGGAATTGAACTGCGGGACTTGAAGCGAGATCACTTTGTCATGTTGTCAATTGCTGGTGTGTGTTGCATGTCTGACCGTGTGAGCCCCTGCACCACCGATGCTGACCACGCAGCTTTCAGAAAGGTTTTGAATGTTAACAGTGTTCCTGAAAGGTTGAGGGCGATGTCTACTAAAACGAAAGTCTTTAATGATGCAGAATGGAGCCGTTACTTCTTCAAAATTAAGAAGGTGCCTTGAAGGACATTGAAAGAAGGTCAGTTTTTTTGCAAGATGGGGCAACATTAGGGCACAATTGCGTTGGGGTCCCCTCAAATTGGAGACTATAAATATCAATAAACCTGTTTTATTGATGGCTTTCCCTGTGCGTATTTAAAAAGAAGCACTTGGGGTCTTGAGTTTGGTCTTGCCAAAAAAACAAAAACAAACTTATAAACACTGTCTCTGTTTTCTTCTTTTTTGTTCCAAACATACACACACAGGCAGTCTCACTGGCCCGGTCTCCCTCTCCTGTGTCCTGGCTCTGCATGCATCATGTGCACGGAAGAACACAAGCAAGCGTTTTTGGTAGAATTGGCGATTTGATCACTTTCACAGCCAATTCTGCCCAGAACCTCATCCATTTGGGTTCTGAAGCCTCTTCTTAACCACTACCCTAAACTGTCCCCTGGAAACCCTGTTCTCAACTGCTCATCCTGCCACCACTAACCAACTTACAGTTAACTATCAGGAAACAATGAGCTTGATGGTGGGCTGAGGGGTGACTGTTGGAAATGGACAGAACACAATCTTAGACTAGTCACAAGGTCATTGAGATCAAACGTTATTTAAAATAATCGAGTGAGCTCCAAAAGCCTATAAATCACCCAAATCACTGGGTCCATTTGTTTTTTGAGAGTGAAACAAATGTTTATTTTCTTTTAGTTTAATAATTAAAAATTTTTAAGTAAAGAAAATATGCGTCTGGGTAATCAAAACTATTTTTTTTCTTGATGAGTCCACTTAATATTGTTATGGTGCTGAGTGAACATTTCCTACTCTCAAAAAGGCTTGACATAATGAGTGTTTCCATTTCACTAATGAAAAGACTGAACTTCCTGGAGTTTAGATGCTTTTAAAATTTCCACTGTGCATGGAGCAGCTGACCTCTCCTGTCTCGCCCACTGCTCCCCTCAACAGTGTATTTCCGTCGATCTGCCTGTTCTACTCCCCACTCTGTCTCTGGTGAATCCTCTCACACCCCCTGCATCTCTGGCCTGTACCCCAGCTCTTATATGCCTAAATAAATAATAAAAAAATAAAAAATAAAAATAAAATTTCCGCTGTGGTTCCACGAAGGCATGGAAGCTCACACTTCCCCAGCTGCTTTATCCAACGTCACTTCTGACCATGGTTTAAACAAAAATTCTCTAGGCATTATGTAACAAATTGCCTGTGTTCTAATAATCTTTTAACAATTAATATATACTTTAAAGAAAGTACCTGTCCCTTTCAAAGGCTAAAAACACTTTGAAAATAATGAAATCCTCTAAGAGTGATTGATGGACTCATAAATCATTGGGAGTTCATCAAAAAAAAATAGCTTTAAGTTGCTTGGGCCTCGACAGAGAGAGACTAGGAGGAAAGCTAGGAAAGGAGCTGTTCTGTTCCATGCAAAGGTGAGGCCTCCATGAGCTGGGGAGCTCTGTGTGTACAGAGGGACCCAGTGCTGCTCCCTTTGGACAGAGTGTGGAGGGCAGACGTACAAAGGGGAGTCGAAGAGAGGCACAGGTGGGCGTGAGTGAAAGCCGTGAAAAAGACTGTTCAGTAACTCTGGGGCTTGCTCAGAAATGACTGGGTATTTTAAAAGGGAATCTGGGCCTCCCTGGTCGTGCAGGGGTTAGTCTCAGTGCTATCAAGTTATTGGCAGCCACTGCAGCCTGAGTTCCATCCTTGGCCAGGGAGCTGACCCACATGGCGCAGCAGACCTCTCCTGTCTCTCCTGCTCTCCCCTCAGCAGTGTATTACAGTAGATCTGCCTGTTCTGCTCCCCACTCTGTCTCTGGTGAATCCTCTCACCCCCCACACCTCTGGCCTGTACCCCAGCTCTTGTATGCATAAATAAATCTTTTAAAATAAATAAATAAGAGAGCCTGAGGGAGCGGGGAGAGCAGGGACTCTGCAGACAGAGAAATGAAAATCTGCCAAGAGCCAGTGTAAGGCAGTGGGGCTGTTACGTCCTCCTGCTGGAGTGACTGAAGTCAAAGTTCGATCCTCCTGCAGAGCCAGGGAGCAGAGACCCTTCCTTGTGACTAAATTCAAAGGAATGCCTCCTGGGTGCTTGAGAGAGACATCTGAGTTGCAGAGATGCAGCTCACCATCGCAAGACCATTTCAGAACTGCTCAGGCCTCTCCCAGAGATGGGACAGGTTCACAGCTCCAGATGCATGTCACCCGCCGTCCTTCACCCTAGAACACTGAGCCCCCTCTTCACTATGCTCCCCACTCCCCACCCACCCTCCCTCTCTAGTGGCCTCCTTTCTGCGGTCTTATTTCTAAGGTTTGTTCTGGTTTAGTTTTGTTCTTTTGCTTTGTTTTCTCTCTGTTCCACATACGAATGAAACCATCTATTTGTCTTTCTTCTTCTGACTTATTCCACTTAGCATCATCCCCTCCAGCTCCACCCATGTTGCTGCAAATGGTAAGATTTCATCTTTTGTATGGCTGAGTCGTATTCCAGTGTGTTCATGTACCTCGTCTTCTTAACCCGCTGCTCATTCATGGGGCTTTTCGGTTGTTTCCATACAAGTTGATTTATTTTATTTTTTGTTTTGTGTTTTTTTTGTTTTTCAAAGTTGATTTTTTAAAAAGCTGCAGAGGGCAATTTCATTATAAGAAGCTTGGCAAAACCACAATACCCAGATGCCTGCTAATGCCCAGGTAGCAAGTACTGTAAATGGTCTCCTTTAAAAAGGTGGACAGCAGGAGGAAAGCATTGAACTAGGATTTATCAAAAAATGAAGTTTCATAATCCAAATAAGGGGAAAATGTTCTTAATTGTTTTTTCCTTTGGTGCATCTGCTTTTTATTTGGGGAGTGGGTTTGGAGTTGCTGAGTGGTTTTGCTGGGGAATGTATTTTTATTTATATCTATTAAAGTTGGAAAATGCCAGTCTATAAATTAATGGCATTAGGACCTCTATTAGGAGAGCATTGTAATGCTCCAGAATGTTGATCATTATTTTTGGTATAGCTGCTTTTTAAAAAAAAATGAATAGATTTGATTTCTTGGAGCAATTTTATATTTACAGAAAAATTAAACAGAAAATGCAGAAAAGTTATACATATCCCTCTCCCCCTACCATCGCCACTTTCCAATATTGTTAACATCTTGCATTAATCAATTAATAATTGATGGACTAACAAAGACACATTATTATTAACTAAAATCCGTACTTTGCATTAGGGCTGAGTCTTGTACATTCCATAGGTATTGACAAATTATTAGGGTATCACTGCTGTAAAAATCCCCCTAACCTTACTTAGTCACCTCTCCCCACTTCTACACCCCAGTCTCTGGCAACCACTCAGCTTTTTACAATAGTTTTGTCTTTTCCAGAGTATCACATAGTCAGAATCATACAGTAAGTGCCTTCCCCACTCGGTAACATGCATATAAGATGCCTCCCCTCTGTCATGCCTTAAGAGCCCATTTCTTTTTATCTCCAAATAATATTCCATTGTATGGAACACATCTATTTTTTAAATGCTAGATTGGATAATAGCTGTAATCATTTCAAAGGATGCTATGTTGTGGGAACAGAGTAAACTGTGAATTTTTGCCAATCTTTCCAAAATAATGTTGTACGGAAGATGGGTTCTGTGCAAAATATCAGTTGGCATCATACAGGGGGGAGTGTGGTCTGCAGTGAACTCAGACCAAATAGATGAAACAAGCCTGTTCAAACTTCACAGTCTTGGAAGCAAACACTATCACACACATTTTAACTCGTGACAAACTGAGACTGTGTCCCCTACCAGTGAAGTAACAGATGTTAATGGAGGGGAAGGCAAGGAAGGAGGCCGAGAGAAGAAACCCACTGTGAGTGGCCAGAGTGATAAAACCCCAGCTAAGAGCGTGTTAAGGAGCAGGGACCATAGAGAAGTTGCCAAGCCCGTCTTGGACCATGTTGAAAAGGGAACGAGACATCAAAGAGAAGAGAGAGAAAGTAGAAACAGTGATGGGCTTGATTGATCTCAGCTGCTGCAAAACTGTTAGTCCAGGGTGGAAATAAACTGTAAACTCTTTGGTTGGCTGTTTCCTTGACTTAATGTCAGCCACCTGGAATCATCAAGCTCTGGCCAGACTATGGCAAGTGGGGAATCTATGACAGCAAATGAGGACAGGGAAGTTTCAGGCTTCCAGAAACTATAGAGCATTTTATAATTTCCCCCGCTGTTTCCACTTCCTAACAATTAGACACATGAATATGTATTCGTTGAAAGAAAATCTAGTCTCTTCACTTGCCAGGGCACTCAGTGGATTTTCAAGAAAGGTATAGCGCATGTCAAATTATGTAAATGTAAAATGTTTTAGGAAGAATTTTATGAACACCCTGATTTAGGTGCATCTGTTCATCGCACCTGTGGAAACTCACCTTGATGGGCTCTTGGGACTAGGATAACTCGCTGACTTGCGGGCATTCTTGCCCAAAAAGAAAACACCGACTGAAATAACCTCCAAAGCACCCAAAACCATCTAACTCACACTTCTCTGGTTTTGATATGTTTTCTCTAACAAGAGTGTTTTCTCCCCAGGTACTTGAAGAAAAAGAACTTGACTCAATGGGGCTGGCAAATGACACAAGGGTGAAAGAATTTATTTTTCAAGGGCTGACCCAGTCCCGGGAGCTGAGCTTGGTCTTATTTCTTTTCCTATTCCTGGTGTACGCGGCAATCGTGATGGGAAACCTCCTCATCATGGTCACCGTGATCTACGAGGCTCGCCTGCACACCCCCATGTACTTCCTGCTCCGCAATCTCTCTGTCCTGGACATCTGCTTCTCCTCCATCACTGCCCCCAAGGTCCTCGTGGACCTGCTGTCCCGGAGGAAGACCATCTCCTTCCAGGGCTGCATGACCCAGATCTTCTTCTTCCACCTCCTCGGTGGAGCAGATGTTTTTTCTCTCTCTGTCATGGCCCTGGACCGCTACATGGCCATCTCCAAGCCCCTGCACTACGTCACCATCATGAGTAGGGGGCGCTGCTCGGCCCTCATTGTGGCCTCCTGGGTGGGGGGCTTTGTCCATTCCATTGTACAGATTTCCCTGTTGCTTCCGCTTCCCTTCTGTGGACCCAACGTGGTTGACGGCTTCTACTGTGACGTCCCCCAGGTCCTCAAACTCGCCTGCACCGACACCTTTGTTATCGAGCTGCTCATGATTTCCAACAACGGCCTGATCTCCACCCTGTGGTTCATTTTCCTGCTGTTGTCCTACACGTTCATCCTAAGGATGCTGAGGTCTCAGGCCGGGGAGGGCAGGAGGAAAGCCATCTCCACCTGCACCGCCCACATCACGGTGGTCACCCTGCACTTTGTGCCCTGCATCTACGTGTATGCCCGGCCCTTCACTGCCCTCCCCACTGACAAGGTCATCTCCGTCATCTTCACCGTCATCTCCCCGCTGCTGAACCCCTTAATCTACACCCTGAGGAACCAGGAGATGAAGTCAGCCATGAGGAGGCTGAAGCAAAGACTCGGGCCTTCCAAGAAGGAATAGATGCTGGGAACCCCCATTGGAGGTCAAAGATGAGAAATATTTCCTTACCACACGACAGACAGGCCCAATGAATAGACATCTAGAATCCCAGATGCTCCTTTCATCCTCTTCCACAGTCCTGTGATGAGAAAACAGTCGTTCCTGTGACGTCTTCTCATAGCGAATCCAGAAGCTGTCAGCTGCTAAGGGACCCTAGAGCTGCACCCCTAATACCTGTCAAAGGTAAGGAGATGAAGTGTGGGAGCAAACTACCACTCAGTTCTGGGGTCGTGATGGCACTCAGTGGAGCCTCAGCCGAAACTGGTAAAATGGCCTCCAGGGACCGAGAATCAAGGCTTGAAAATCCATCCTCTCTCTGAGTGAAAATCTCTCTCCATAGCATCCTTGCAGGATCCAGGGTCACCCCTCCCACCCCACCCACCATCACTGCACCCACTGTCACCACCAGGTTTTCGTAAGTTGAGATAAGTGTCGTGTTTTCTCAAAGGTTCCCTGGCTCATTAAGGGCAGAACAAAGCTAGACCAGAGACACCAACCTCGGCTAAGTAGTACATGCACCCCTGCTCTGCCCGCCACCTCCTGCAGGACTCGGTGGGCTGTGAAGCAAGCTCCCCTACAAAATTCCCTCCTTGCTGTAGTATTATGAAAAGTCCTTGGTCATCCCCTCACCCCCTTCCCTCAGGAGTAACTACTACAAGACTACCCCCTCGAAGAATTTCAACATCAGTCTCCAGAGAGGAAGGAATCCTATCCTGTTTCATTGCTAGGATGGCTCGACTCACTTGTACACGTGTCACAAAGGCTAAGAATAAACATTGTCTAGGCCCTGATTAGAAACTCCCCAGCCAGCCCATTCCACATTCCTCTTCCGTGTTCTTTCTAGCATGTTCTTTAGCAACCCTCTTCAAGAGATTAGAAAACAGGATTCAATTCCGTTGGTCTTCTGACAACCCATTAGATGAAACAGACCCAATGGGTGGTCGCCTAACATTTGGGCGGGATGTGCTGGCTGGCCTATAACACCCCAGTCTTCTCTCCCACGCACTCTCTGATGTTTGTGCCACCAGACTGGTGTAACAGGCCATTTGCTTCATGCAATTTAGGAGGGAAACAAAAGCCAAGAAAATCTGCCCCAAACATAGTTCGTCCCAACCGGCCCTATCACTGCTCCCCCCTGTCCTTCCATTGGCCCCTGCCTGAAATTCTTCTTTTGGGGTTATTTTCTAAGTTAGACACAGTTCGGGGGGGACAAGCCTGGTATCATGCCACCACTTCTCAAGTCAGACCCCTCTCTGGAAGACCACAGAACCAGAATCCCATCCTGCCCTAACCAGCATGATTCGTTAACTATCAAGAATGGCAGGTGGGCCTCCCCGGTGGCGCAGGCGGTTGAGCACAGCACTACGAAGCTGTCCACGGACTCTGCAGTGCTGGTTCCATCCCCGCCGGCAACAGAGCAACCCACATGGCAAGGCAGACGTCTCCTGTCTCTCCTGCTGCTCCCCTCAGCAGTGTATTTCAGTCAGTCTGCCTGTTCTGTTCCCCACTCTGTCTCTGGTGAGTCCTCTCACCCTCCTGCACATCTGGCCTGTACCCCGGTTCTTGTATAAATAAATAAATCTTTAAAAAAAAAAGAGAGTGGCAGGTATTTCCCTCTTGGTTAATCATTTTTATTACCAAAATGCCATGCTTTCCTTCAAAACTCAACTCCCCTTCCTTAAACATTTTTTGTTTTAGCATTTAATCTTTACTTTCTAGAAGCAAAGAATGAATGGAGTATTCATAAGAGACTAGTTCAGGAAGAAAACCTGTGCATGTGTGTGAGATCTGTGTATTTATGAGCTGTGTTTACACTTGTATATTTGCATGTAAGCTGCTCAATTTAGAAAAAGATGTGGCATGTAGATAATATTAAAACATACATGTACTTTTTACTTGGAGACTATCCCAGAATTCGCAGAGTGAGGTGGAGACCTCTAAGTAGAGGGGGCGCTGAGGCGCGAGAAGTCAGAATACCACAAAGGAACTATTCTTCCTTTGCGGGCTTGTTCTTTAGAGATATAGTGAGCAGAAATCACCAGAAAAGGCTCCAAGGACTAAGCACCAGGGCCATGAGGGCAGGGAGCGGCTGGAGAGGGAGGCCGAGCATCAGAGGGCTTCTCTGTGAAGGGGTGGGGAGCATTTGCGTTTCAGATCAGTCAGCCCTGGACTGGACAGGTGCAGGCCCGGAGATAGGGCCGCCACGGGTGTCCGTGGAAGACATGGAAGAGAGCTGCAGTCATCAGCAGAGCGGAGGATGATCACAGAGGAAAGACTCTGCGGGCTCAGCCGACGGGATGAGGGAGGCAGAAAGGATCACTGTCTGGTGTCTCTCTGGGGTGCTGGGTAGATGGTTCCCCAAGAAGGGACCAGCTTCCTATGGCAAAATCGTGGGTTCTGTTCTCAAAGGAGGGAGAGCCATCTCCTCCCTGTATGTTCACTCTTAACTCCACGCCTCCTCACATGACCTTGCTCGGATATGGGGTCTCTGTGGTGGTGACGGAGTGAAAATGAGGTCATTGGGGTGGGCCCTGGTCCAGTACCGCTGAGGACCTTATTAAAAGGGGACACTTGGGCACAGAGGTGCACACAGAGGGCAGATGTGCGAAGAGACAGAGGCAGAAGCCGGCGCCCACGGAACATGGAAGGGGCCCAGCAAAGGCAGAGCTGGTGTGCTCAGCACTTAGTGTTTTCTAAAAATTTCCCTTTGGGAAAACTTGATCTACCCCAACCACACCAAATTCACCTCCCAAGTCATAACACTCATAACAACGGCGTTCACTCAGCATTTCCTAGGGCAGATCGTGAATTATTCCCCGAGCCCCCATTTTGCAGAGCGTGGGTCTGCTACTCCTGAGTGGCCTGTTCGGCCACCATTTTGTTAAATCCTAAACAAGATCAGAATGGCCCGGTCAGTTAGGCACAGGAGCCCAACCCTGCAAAGTCCCTGTCAAATCAAACAAGAGCGCAAAGCTGGATCACGCTGGGAAGGCTATGCATCACGAGGTATGACCAGGAACGCCAGAGGGGCTGAGGACGGGTGTAAAGCAAGGGACCCCAGAAGCTGATCAGTGGAAAGCCTTGTTGGTAAGATTAGAACCGTGGCTGGGGAATTAGGGCGTGATCTCAATGACAATACCGAGTCATCAAGCAGATGAGAAGTGCCTGGAGGGCAGACTCACAACGCCTGATCTTCTACATTCTTCCCCTTTCTTTAATCTCCTCCCCTTTCCTTTTTCCCCTCCCCCTTATGCTGTCTATCAATAACAAAGCCAGGATCTTGCTCTTCAGCAGCAGCCTACATCATGTAGCCTGCTCCACCAGTCCCTTTTTTTAATCAGTGTGGTGTTGCCCCCTGCAACAGCAGAGGAGAAAAGGTGGCACAGAGCAGTTAAGCCACCAGTCCAAGGCCACAGAAGGTCCCAGATGTCTCAGGCAGGCATTCTGGGGACTGCACCTGGGCCGGGGGAAACTGCCAGGGCCGCTGTCTGTCCTGGTCTTTAGAGGCCCAGGTGGGCCAGCCCAGAGGACAGGAGGAGTCAGCCGGGCCCGGCTAGAGCTTGGTCCAGGAGAAAAACTCTGCCAGATGGAGAATTTGTAACAGGGTGGTCCCCAGGAAAGGGGGAGGTTCCCTGCCCCACCCAAGGGAGGGTGGAGCTGAGCAGCAAGAGAAGAAGCTGCAGGAAGAGACGGAGGAAGGAAGCAGGATGGAGCAAGGAGACCTGGAGGAGGCGCATGGAGCCTAGAGACACGTGAAGAAACTGCGCTTGTCTTTTGGTCGTGGACTGGGTGACACAGATGTGGGTGAGACCTGTGGGGAGGTGACAATGGCAGCTTTTATCTTGATGTTGATTTTGCTCTTTTCCTTCTGGGCTTGTCCGGTTGTTTGTGACCCTTTTCTGTGGGTCCCCACTGGAAGATGCTTTAGACTTGTGGCAGGCTTTGGGGCCTTGTTCTGGGCCAATCCCATATGGATGGAGTTTTACCCACGAGGGGACGGGTAACTTTGGGTGCTTCATCTAGAAACTGAACTCTTTGCCTCACCTGTATTGTTTCCTAGTTTTTATTAAAGATCCTTCCCATTAAAGTGTCATATGTTTTGTGTTAATGCGGCGGATGGCGAAACCCATTTAGAGTGGGCAGGTTTGCGGGGTTTGGGCTGCCCCTCTCCCTTCCCTATAACAAATTCACTGTAAAACATGTGGCACTGTTGGAACTCTGTACCAGGTACAGATAATTAAGTTCTCAAAAAATACTTTTAATTTAGCAAAGTATGAGGTTAGAGGACTTGGAAATAATCACAAAAGGAAAGGCGGGGGTGGCCTTTAAGATATCCCTCTCCTGAGAGGCATCAGCAGTTTTACAGACAACCCGAGCAGGGTGCAGGGGAGGAGCCAGAAGGCCCAGGACCCTGGCCAGGACAACCTCAGGCAGAGCGCGCACGCACAGCGCAGGCGCAGAGGCCCGAGCCGGCACAGCCGCCTGCACCGACCCGGAGTGGCCACACGGGGCAGCCTCGGGGACGGCGCCTCCCGGTCGCTCAGACTCCGGCCCGCGCGGCGGGGAGACGGGAGCGCCGCGGCGCCCTAAGAGAACACGGTCCCTTCCCCCTTCTCGGAGAAATACGCAAGATCAAGCTCGCAAAAATAAAACCTGACCTACTACTCCGTATAAAACGCAAAAGGGAGGGGTGCGCCCTCGTGGTTCCACTGGGGCTCGAACCCAGGACCTTCTGCGTGTAAAGCAGACGTGATAACCGCTACACTATGGAACCCGACGCTGGCGGAGGGCGCCGGGCCGCCATAACTCCACACCAAGGCGCCGCCCCGACACGTGGGGCGAGGCGGCGCCGTGAGCCGCGGCGCCGGCCCGCAGAGGAGCGTGGACCCGCCTCCCCGCCCCGCCATGGGGGCGCGGCTCTCTGCGCGGCCGGCGTCGCGGGCTGCGGCCGCTCCCGGAGG